TAATAATTAAATTAAAAAATTGAAGTTTTAAAAAGTAAAAATATATTTCTTATTACTATTATTCAATAAATAATTACCGGTTCAAAGCCAAAATTCATCATCCAACTCTGTATAAAATATCTGATCATGCAGAGTTGGGTTTGTTATTGTTAGTCGTGGGATTCTCCCTAGCTTCCAACCTCTTGAGATTTTCGTATCCATATTTTAATGAGTACCATTTCATCGACATTGAGAAAGAGAAGCAGTGAACCCTCTAGTAACAAACAATCGATTGGATATGATTCTCCATATCCTTTCATGGCGATTATTAGAAACGAACTCAAAATCATCATGATTATCACGTTAAAGTCGAATTAATTCTCTTGCAGCATCGACTGTCCATTCGAATGGAGCTACAGTGAGAGCAGCTAAAGCCATAATGATAGAAATAAAAAAAGGAGGAAGATGAAATAGGCGGGATCGAGAAATAAAAAAAGAAATAATGAAATAAATGAAAATTGAGAAATAAAAGAAAGGAGGAGAAAATAAAATAAACAGGATCGAGAAATAGAGAAGGAAAAGGAAAAAAATGAAATAAACAAGATAAAAAATAAAAAAAGAAAAGAAAAAAATGAAATAAATAGGGATTGAGAAATAAAAAGAAAGGAGGAGAAAATGAAATAAATGGGATTGAGAAATAGAGAAGAAAAAGGAAAAAACGAAATAAATGAAATGAGAAATAAAAAAAAATGAAATAAACGGGATTGAAAAATAAAAGAGAGGAGGAAAAAATAAAATAAACGGGATTGAGAAATAGAGAAGAAAAAAGAAAAAATGAAATAAACAGAATCGAAAAATAGAGAAGGAAAAAGAAAAAATGAAAAACGAAATCAAGAAATAAAAAAAAGAAAACGAAATAAATGGGATCAAGAAATAAAAAAAAGAAAAGAAAAAAATGAAATAAACGGGATCAAGAAATAAAAATAAAAATAAAAAAATGAAATAAACGGGATCGAGAAATAAAAAAAAATAAAAAACAAAATAAACGGAATCGAAAAATAATAAAAAATAAAAAAATAAAATAAATGAGATCGAGAAATAAAAAAAAAGAAATAAATGAAATAAACGAGATTGAGAAATAAAAAAAAGAAAAGAGAAAAATGGAATAGACGGGATCGAGAAATAAAAAAAAAAAAAAAAATGAATTAGAAATAGTGATCGAAAAAATAGGTGAAATAAAAAAAATGAAATATTAAAAAAGAAAAAAAAAACAAATTAGAAATGGTGATCGAAAAAATAGGTGGAATAAAAAAATCGAAAGATAAAAAAAAAGAAAGAAAGAGAAAGGGAGAGAAAGAAAAAACGAATTTAAAAAAGAAAAATAAATTAAAAAAATTGAAATAACAGATAAAATGATGAGAAAAATAATCGAAAAATAATAGATGAAGAAGACAAGAGAAGATTTATATTCGTAATTTTATTATGATATATTGTGAAAAATGATAGATTCATGAGCGTAAATTACATATATTTATATCTTTTATTTTTATTAGAGAACT